TTTACGTATTTTTTTAATTGATGAAGTTGTCATGCACTTCTCTCTGCTTTCAGGATAATTGGCAACCCATTAATTTGTGGGCCTAATTCAGATAACAACTGTTCTGTGGTCTATCCCGAGCCTGTTTCCTTCCCGCCAGATGGTGTCAAAGGTGTCCATCACATAGTAGTATTTAATTTTCTTTTTAAGTTACTTCACTGCTTTTCCATAACTGTTCCATGACATGTTTAATTGATGGAATCTTTACTTTCCCAGATGGGTCAGAATCAGGGACAAAGAGCCACCGTGTGGCTGTCACTTTTGGCGTGAGCTTTGGTGCTGCCTTTTTAATTATAGTAATCATTGGATCATTTGTTTGGTGGAGATATAGACACAACCAGCAAATTTTCTTTGATGTTAATGGTTAGGTCTTATGTACTTCTATCTTCATTTTATTTCCCAGTTTCTTCATTGACAAGTATCAATTCTTATGGCATTATGATGATTGATTAGACGCATTTGTGCTACAACTTAGTTGCATTAGATTATCATAATTCATGTTGTGTACACTGCATTTGGTTGGCCATTTGTTAGATTTTTCAATGGTTTAGAATATCATTTGTAAGTGCCTTTTTGTGTGTCTACATGTTATGCTTGAAAGTTTTTAAGTTTCAGAAATTTTAATGAAGCTTTTCTGTTTAATTCTTAAACAGTTGCTTGGTAAGTAGTTGATGATTTCTGATGTGTGAGACCCCTCCTTCAGCATTAGATTTTTTTTTCTTAGCATTTTTATGATTCCATAAGCTTAACATTGTTCTTGTCTTTCATAAAATTTTTGAACCACGGAAGAAATTACCACAGTTATGCAATGAATGTGCAGATTTTTAATGAAAAGATGTGTTAATGATTTTATTTTGTTAATGAATGACGCTTCAGGCAATATTGAACTTATTCTGTATGTGCTATGTGATTAAGGTAAGTAAGAAAAAAGATTGATGCCAAAGCTAGATTAACCCTGATCTAGAAACCATCTGGTTTAGATTTAAGAGTGATCTGGAAAAGAATCCATGAATATATGACGTTGAGATTGTGTTACCATGCTTATATGTCAAGATTAAGTCAAGTAATTGATAACATAAGAAAGAGATACATGTGTATATATTTGGGAAATATGTATATGTATTATTGTCCCCTAAAACCTCAAATGATGAATCCTCCAAAGCAGGTCCTAATCTTGAAAAAAGGGCACTATGAACAAAGTAAAAGAAATCGAAGAGATCTGAGTGAGTGGAAATAAAAAAACTTTTAATGGCTATTCCCTGGGGCTTAAAAATTTTCTTGCTTGTTCTGAGGTCCTGGTGTCCTTTGAAAGCTTTTACCAATATACCAGCACCAGGCAGGTGTCAGACTCTGTATGCTGTTTTACCACTTGTAACTTTGTACATGTGTGTCTGCATGTTTGCGTATTTCTCTGCAAAGAAAGACGGGGATTTCTAGAAGAATTTAATTCATATTGTTTTGATTGACTGACAATTTGACATGGTCAACATACAATTTAAGAGAAAAGAAACTGGAAACAAAGAGTGGATGATAGTTGGCCAGTAATTATACAATTGTTTGTTGCAAATGGAATACGAATAAAATGTAAGTGATTAAAAAATTTAGACAAATACTGTTTTCTGGAGGGGTAATTCATCAGTTAGGTCTCAGTTTTTCCATCTGGCTGTTAACCTGAAGTCCTTTTAAAGACTTATTTTTGGGTAAGAAATGAAATTATAGTTGAAACAGTCACATAAATATACTTTTGTCGGTTGTGCTATTTAATGTATTTTATGCAATGTGCTTTTTTGAGCAAGTCAGGAAACTAAACAACAATAGCCTTACTGGATCCATTCCAGACACTCTGTCCAAAGTTGAAGGTCTCACACTTGTGTAAGTGTTCGCCCCTCTTCACTTTATTTTGTGTAGAACATTGGAGGAGACCTCAGAAATATTCTTTACCATCTTTTGTGAATATTGCTGGCAGAGACCTTTCTTTCAACAACTTCAGCAGTTCCGTGCCAAAAATTGCTGCACGAACTTTCAAGTGAGCTGTACCTAAATTGTTCTCATATTGCTCAGTTGTTTACGTATTTTTTTAATTGATGAAGTTGTCATGCACTTCTCTCTGCTTTCAGGATAATTGGCAACCCATTAATTTGTGGGCCTAATTCAGATAACAACTGTTCTGTGGTCTATCCCGAGCCTGTTTCCTTCCCGCCAGATGGTGTCAAAGGTGTCCATCACATAGTAGTATTTAATTTTCTTTTTAAGTTACTTCACTGCTTTTCCATAACTGTTCCATGACATGTTTAATTGATGGAATCTTTACTTTCCTAGATGGGTCAGAATCAGGGACAAAGAGCCACCGTGTGGCTGTCACTTTTGGCGTGAGCTTTGGTGCTGCCTTTTTAATTATAGTAATCATTGGATCATTTGTTTGGTGGAGATATAGACACAACCAGCAAATTTTCTTTGATGTTAATGGTTAGGTCTTATGTACTTCTATCTTCATTTTATTTCCCAGTTTCTTCATTGACAAGTATCAATTCTTATGGCATTATGATGATTGATTAGACGCATTTGTGCTACAACTTAGTTGCATTAGATTATCATAATTCATGTTGTGTACACTGCATTTGGTTGGCCATTTGTTAAATGGGGGAGTGGTGAGAGAGAGGAGAGGGTAATGTTATTTTGTTGCTTTGTATATAAGGTAGTAATTTTTTGATTGAGAATTGTGAATTCAATTTTTGGATATGCTATTTTGTGGGAAAATTAATGCGATATTTGTTATTTTGAGGGAAAATTAATGCTATATTAAATTGAATGGGAAAGTGAATTAATGCTATATTTGTTATTTGAGTGGGAGTTATTATTTCATATTAATGTTATTTAGTTTTATTATTGGTGTTCTTTTAGTTCAATCACATAAAATTAGCACAATTTCAAAACCAAAAAAAAAGAAACTTAGTTTATCATGCTATTTTCATGGCGAGTTATTAATTTCAATTTCCAAGTGTTATCCATCATGAGCAAATATCCTACCACTTTATGCTCCAAAATTTCTAGACTACATTTGCATTTAAGGCTGGTTAATACTAATTGTCCATCCTTGGTTCCCTCTCTCACGTTTTTCATTCATATCTTATGTTATTTTATTTTTAAGAACAACCTATCTTTGGTTTAGTGTAATATGTTTGTATATATACAGCCATAAGAATATCACATATTATGAAAACAACTTTTTGTAAGGGCATCCGTAAACCAAACACTGCCTAAGTAAAACAAGTTAGGTTTCTTTTTCTTTTTTTGATTACAAGGGGGCCGAAGCCAAACCTACAAACTGACACTACGAGGGAAACTCCCTCCTTGCTTGTCATTAGCTAGGGCCAACTCCAGAGAAGGAGGGGCTGTCAACACAGTTTCATCCCCAACATCCATACATATAGCTGCTACACTACACATTTGGCTTCTTCCTGTTGGTATAAATTATTAATTGTAAACTTATTCTATTTCCTACTTTGACCATGAGCTGTAAAAAGTGCATGTAATGCTATACGTACGAAGAAAACTTGCAAAATGATCTGGCATGTCAGTAACTACCTTCTTTTTAAAACACAGGTTGATGTGGGTGTCACATCAGGTTGTAAATAGAGTTTTTGTACAAATTTTAAGTGTAGCATTTTAATATAATGGAAGAACATTTTCCTTTGTATTTGTGTATGGTTCTTTTTGTAAACCCATTAAGTGGTTTTAACTGAGATTTTAGTGATATATTCATAACCGCATTTGGTAATGTACATTAGCTACCACTTAAAATTTCAAGCAGAGTGTAGCTGACTATGTTGAATAGTTGATAAGTTTAATCCATTGTGATTTTAAATTTTAACATAGAATGACAAACATCTTATATAATTGTATTCCATTAAATAATTTTGTTTGGGATTTGTTTCAAGGTATCCTTAGATATTGTTGCTAGATAGATCATAGAGAGGGTCTTCCAATGCCCTCTAGTATATATAAGTACACATTACACAGGTGCAGGCATGATATTAGATGTTAGATACTAAAGGTATATCTATCTATCTATGAGATGTAATCCGTATGCAAGAAAAATATGAGTTGTCTAATTGTGAGCCATCTTAGGAGTGTTTATGTCAGCCTTCTGCAGTTCTTTACCCTGAACAGTATGCTTGAAACTGGGGCTTTGGAGCTGGCTGATGTCAGGAACCATTGAAAGAAGCTCAATGTCCTGTTAAACTCAAACATTTTTTAGCTGGGTTTTGTACTTCAAAATGTTTTATACTAGTTAACAGGAAATTGGAATTATGTACGATCATTTGTGTTGGAAAGCATTTTATGCTATGTAAATTGATTATTATTTTAGTACAATCACTTGCTAATGAGTTACATCATTGATGTTGGACTACTTTTTTTTTGTCAAAACCATAATGATCCTGTTGTAAGATAGACCATGATTTGATTGAACAGTTGTGCTTTGTCCTTTTTAAAGTGCAGGGATTTGATCGATTATTACAGTTAAGAGTTGTGATATCAATGGAAAGAATTGTTGCAGCTCATTGTTTGTTATTCTTTTTCATGAAATTTTCTTAATGTCCATTATTTTAAATGCTATTGTTCAGGTGATGAATCTCATTGGTGATGTTAAAGGAAAAGTTGCAGTAATGGTGGATGACATGATTGACACTGCTGGTGAGTTAAGTCATCTAGATGTAAAAAATCCCAGCTTATAGGCCATTAATTAGGAAGTGATTTCAAAAAGTGAAAATTCAAAGAAAAAGAAACTTAGTTTATCATGCAATTTTCATGGCGAGTTATTAATTTCAATTTCCAAGTGTTATCCATCATGAGCAAATATCCTACCACTTTATGCTCCAAAATTTCTAGACTACATTTGCATTTAAGGCTGGTTAATACTAATTGTCCATCCTTGGTTCCCTCTCTCACGTTTTTCATTCATATCTTATGTTATTTTATTTTTAAGAACAACCTATCTTTGGTTTAGTGTAATATGTTTGTATATATACAGCCATAAGAATATCACATATTATGAAAACAACTTTTTGTAAGGGCATGATCGTTTGTTATCATGTCTAGTTGTTATGCATCTTGCTCTCCACTTTGCTTTAAATTTTGGGTCTCAAATATGATCATGTCCTTCGGATTGGACTTGAGCTTACAGTCTAGGCAATGTGAAGTACTTTCTTTATTTTGTTGTTTCCAATAAATAACCGAGTGTTATTTTGCTTCCTCAGGAGGTTTGAAAAAAAGCACAAAGGTGGTTTTTTTTTTAGATTGTAAATACAGTCTTCGACTTATTGTAGTTAACTAGTACATGGCTGCTGGGTTGTAGGTACTATTGCAAAAGGTGCAGCTCTGTTACATGAGGAGGGGGCCAGGGAAGTCTATGCTTGCAGCACTCATGCTGTTTTTAGGTAATGGCTTCATCTATGGTGTTTGATCTTTGCTTTGATCTCTCTAAATGCATGCCCAAAAATTTCTGTGTTTTTCCAAATTTGATCATTACACATTTTGATCAAAGTTCCGTTTCTTCATTACTTTGGAGAAAGGGGAAATTAAGAGGATGTTGGGTTGTGACTTTTGAGGTGCCATTTCCTGATTTTCATGTGAATGGGGGCAGGATGCCAGGATTTTTATTTTATTTTTATATAATTTTTCTACTTATTAAGAAGTTTCTGGTTTTAGTGAATGGTACATAGATGGGGAACTATCTATATCATCTAGTTCAATGTCTTATTAGGGATCTCTTAAGGCTGTGCTTGGATCATAGATTTGGGTAGCAATTTGGAAAGGGAAAAGAAAAAAGTATGTGAAATGTAACTATATTTCATTCACATTTCACCTATCTTTTCCTTTTCTCTTTTTAAATCCCTACTCAAATCCGTAAACCAAACACTGCCTAAGTAAAACAAGTTAGGTTTCTTTTTCTTTTTTTGATTACAAGGGGGCCGAAGCCAAACCTACAAACTGACACTACGAGGGAAACTCCCTCCTTGCTTGTCATTAGCTAGGGCCAACTCCAGAGAAGGAGGGGCTGTCAACACAGTTTCATCCCCAACATCCATACATATAGCTGCTTTGGCTAGCACGTCTGCACAACGATTAGCTTCCCTCCAAAGAATTTAGGTTTCTTGTTTTGCATCATAATGTATACTATCAAGTCCCTAATAATTTGTCATTCCATGATCTACAACACTTTGTTGCTCAAACTGTCAGGACAGTCACCAAAGATCATCGTCAAAAGTATATATCAACACACTATACTACATCCAGAATGGTAGGTGGTGTCATAAAGTTATGAGCATTTTGTCTGTTCATAATTTATTGCTAGTTCTATTTAGTTGTTAACATGTTGGCTTCACCTTCATTAATCTATCAATTATTCAATGCCGTCAATTTACTTTCTTGAAGTCCTAAACATTGGGTGTTCTACCTGGAGCTACTATTCTAGGTAATTGTTGCTTCTGGAGCTGTGAAGCATGAGAACCTTGTTGAGCAAGTGAAGAAGTTGTTTACCAAATTGTCATCGAATCCAACCACAACTTCTGAATTAGTTGCCAAAGGGCCAGCAATTTTTAGGATTTTTTGTGTTAAAATCCTTTGGTTTTTTATTTCTCTTATTTTTTCTTTTTTTCCTCGGATCTGACAGTGGGTGTTTTGGTTCACTTCTTATTTTTTGTATTAAATGGGGGAGTGGTGAGAGAGAGAGGAGGGTAATGTTATTTTGTGGGAAAATTAATGCTATATTTGTTATTTTGTGGGAAAATTAATGCTATATTAAATTGAATGGGAAAGTGAATTAATGTTATATTTGTTATTTGAACGGGAGTTATTATTTCATATTAATGTTATTTAGTTTTATTATTGGTGTTCTTTTAGTTCAATCACATAAAATTAGCACAATTTCAAAACCAAAAAAAAAGAAAGATAAGACGGCGTTTTTAAAATGCCACTATAGCGGGTGGAATTTTTAAAATTAAAAAAACCTATGAAGGCGTTTTAAAAACGTCACTAAAATCATAGTGACGTCACAGTATTGTTAGGGTAGGACATTTGGCGGCGTTTACTAATACATCGACGTTTTCCAAACACCATAAAGTTATAGCGACGGCCGCGTCGTCGGCGTTTGGTACTAAACGTCACAAAAATAATTAGCGACGTTTTTGGTACCTATAGCGGCGTTTTTTAAACGCCGCTAAAAGCCTACTTTCCAGCAGTGTGCTCAACTTACGTCTATGTGATTGCCCTTGTTTTTATTTTTTAATTTTGATTTCTTCAAAAAAAAAAAACATTCCATTCATCTACATTCAAAATTTTGTTGCCGAACAATTAAAAGTTTGGTATATTAAATTTTTGTACCACACTTAATTTTCATATGACACCTACCTATATGATATGCATACCTTATATATATACACACACATACATATGAGAAAGAGAAGAAACAAAACAATGTATGTGCTAACATCTAGTGTGTGTGGAAACAAAACAATGTATGTGCTAACATCTAGTGTGTGTATATATATGTGCATAATTACAATGATTCGACAAACTTACAACATGAGGCTGAGGCCAAGATCATCTGTCTCTAATTTTTTATGTTCCTCTGTCTCAATCACAAAAACTCACGAAGTTAGTAATTTCATAAAAAAATCTTTGTGGCGCATGCAAAGGATGTTAGTATGGGGAAATGTCTTGAAGATCCAAGGTTGAATGGAAATGTGAACGGTGTAGACTTTGAATCCATATTACAAATTGGAGTGTTGTGTGTTGCCAAATTAAGCAAAGGTCGTCCAACCATAGAAATGGTGCTCGATGTGTTGGACAAAGCTTGCCCAAAATACAATTGCTCCTCACATGCATAGGTTGGTTTTCTCACATTTTTTAGCCATCAGATCATATTTATGCATGACAGTTTTAAATAATGGAATTAGGATATATATCAGTATAAACGATATAGTCATGTATTGATCAATATCAAACAATATTAATTAATATATCAATGAATATCGATATTAAAAATTCAAAATCTAAATATTTGTTGTATTGACCGATATTTAAACCCTTACATGCATGCATTTGTTGTGTTTGACTTAGTGGATTGACTATATGTACTTTTGTATCCATTGCAGCCAACAGTGAGGGAGATAAGCCCATCTGCAACACTCCAATCCCAACATGAGATAATTATTCAGTAATCCTAAAGTATAAACACGTAGTATCCTATAGTATTATGATTGGTGAAAGGTGAGTAGGTGAGATATTATGTTGGGTGATTAGAGAACATGAAGGACATATTTAATGATAATTAATTAAGGAGTACAGACACGTGGTATTTCAAAAATGTTGAATAATTTCCCCCAAAACATTAGTCTGACAATTGCATGATTTAAGATGTTATTAATTATATCCACACAAAAAAATTACAATTATCTTTCTTAAGGTTTTAAGAAAGGTTTTTTTATAGTGGAAAATGTGGAGTTGTCCATAATATCGGTATATATATATATATATATATATAACAAAAAAATATATATGTTAAAATATGTGAAATATATATATGAGAGTTCAAATTTTTTTAATATTTGTTTTTTATTCCTAATGAATATTAAGACCTCGTTTGGTATGCAACACTTTTAGCTTAAAAATCTAAAATTATTAAAAAAATTAAAAAGTCTATAACTTATATCAAAAAGTCAAATATTTCCTTTTCTTTTTACTTTTTACACATATTTTCATAAAAAACTAAAAAGTCATTCTAAAGATACTAATTTTTTTAACACATATATGGTTGTATGATCCTTTTGTTGCGTCCAACTAACGGAAAAAATAAAGGACATACTTGTGTTCAATTGTTGCGGGAAAAATATAGATCTCACCATAACTATTTTCTTCAAATACTTTCCCGTAAAAAGTACAGGATTATGCATTACGAGAAAGTTTAGATTGTTTGTATATAATTTATTTTTTCAAATATTTTTTTATTTGTAAATTGAACAGTTGACAAGAAAGCAAATCATTTTTGTTGCCTTTTCCTTTCATTTCTTTTAATTCATTTTTCTCAAAAAAATATTTTCTTGTACAATATTCTTCACAGCTGAATGGCGTGGCATCCATGGTTCTTGTCGTTAGGAAATACCACGAGCTCTGAGTTCTAACCGCACCCTTAATGGCAATTTATATCTATTTTATTATATAACATACACAATTCACTTGGCAAAACTGTCGCATAATTTTAATTTTCAATAAAATTTACTACAGCAATATAATTTCTCAAAATATTTAACTTTATCTAGCAATTACACTAGTATGAAAAAAATAAAATTATGGGCAAATTACTCTCATAGTCTTTATGCAATTTTGGTCTTTATAATTTCAATTGACTCGATTTTGACCATAAATTTATGATTTTGTTTCAATTTAATTCAATGGCTTACAATTGTTAGCATTTTTTTAATGAAAAATATGCATATAAGTGATATATGTCATATTTTTCAAGGCAAAATTATAAATTTATTCAACTCAATAAGTTAAATTCAACTAATTTAGTGACAATTTTTCATAAAAAATATTAACGGCATTATCAATTGAACTAAATTAACACAAAATATAAAATTAAATGTCAAAATTGAACTAATTGAAAGTGTAGGAATCAAAATGACATAAGAGGTAAAATGTAAAAATTATCGGTATAATTTATCCTAAAATTAATAAATCAAATACTGTGTATCGCATAGACCCAAATGCTAAAATGCACCGTATGCATACATTTGTATAATGTTTATTTCGTAATGGAATGGGGATAACTTATTAGAGATCTGTTATCCGTTTGTCGGATTGGCGAATTGAAAGAAATCAATTCACATCTGTCCACTGTTTTGGTGGATGCAGATTGATTGGATTGGTAGATTGGTGGATTAATACGAATCGGTTAGGCGATTTAAATTTTTACAAATTTTGAACATAATACAATAACTTCTCAACATTTTTTTTTGGATAATAAACCAACTCAACATAACCAAAAGATTATCAAATAAATTTTCAAATAACAATAATAAATACATATAAGAAAATCATGCATTATCAAAACTATTTCATTTCTTTTTTTTTTAATTAAAAAACTATTTAATTTGATTTTTTTTTTTAAATGTCAACATTAAATCTTATATTTTCCACAGAAAAATGTCAAATATCAACCTTTGTCATTTGATAAATGAATTTCCAAATTGAAAACAAATTAAAAACACAACATAATATCTAAATTCTTTTTCAATTGAAAGCACAAACAGAATATCTAAATAAATTAGAAATACAAAATCTTACTAATTACTAGAGTCCTTGCGGTTTGGCAGTTCGGTTGTGGCCAAAGAAACCTCAATCCGTCATCCGTCCGAAATTAAGTGGATTGAAAAAAATCAATCTGTAATGGTCCGCTCGTGATCGAGTATCCGTCTAAAATGCGGCAGATCGGATTGGTTCGGTTAGTTTAAGCGAATCGGAATATCTGCTACTCTCCCTAATGACTAGGTATAGTAGACACTACTGTTTGGTTGTGAGTAATGATGAGGTGGTGTGTTTGGTTATGGAAATAGAAAAGAGTACTTCAATTTTTTGTATCGGTGAATATGAATCATTTTGATATTCCGAGGTTAAATTTGATGAGTAACAGTCCTTGATCATTGTTAGTCCACATAAAGAACAAGAAATAGGGATAAGAAAGATATTGTCAATGCGTAGATGAGGAAGCTCTTGACGACACCAATCGCTTTGTCAAAATTCACTCTTGGGATCATTATCTAAGATATTAAATTTCGTATAATGTTAAAAATAAATAAATAAATAAATAAATAAAAATAACACTGATAAAAGAAGGGATAAATTGTAACATTGTTGATAGTATATTTTATTTTTCTGTCAATTATAACTTATTAATTGTGATCAAATCTCATCTTATTATTATCAATCGACTCACACCATATATTATTGTACGGGAAAGAAATACACCTTCTCGTATAATCCTGTTGACTAAGTCTGCGCTCTTCTGTACGATGTCGCTTTATCACCTGAAAACACAAACGTGAACTAGCCGGCGGGTGTGTGCCGGAAACCTCTCCGATGCCTAAGTCAGTAAACTTGACAAATAGACAAAACTCTGTGTATTCAGAAAGCAAAAGTGTGTTACCTCCTCCAAGGTGATGTTTGTGAGTTTTTATAGGTTTCGAGTGGCACAATCCTAGTAGGACTTCTACTTCTCCATGCAGAGTCCTCCTAGGATTCATACTCCTGAAAGATAATGCTTATCCTTCAACACCCCCCTCACTGCTTAAACCAAGTGAGATGGTTTTTACTATGGCCGAATTACCACATGACCGAAATAAAACTGGCTATGCTGAGCCACAAAGTAGGCCAAACTATCCTTAGTTCGATTCCACCTTTACCCCATCCTTATCTCGGTTCTCTCATGTACAAATCATGGTGTATTTAGACCGAGCTTCCGTGTAGCAAAGTTCTGACCGATCTAACCATAATACGTCTTGACCGGACTAATACTGAGACCGGACTAACTCCAAGTTGCCTTCGGACCGGAGTAGCTTTACATCATCTTGGGCCGAAGTAACTTTACCTCTCTTGGGCCGGAGTAACTATATCTCTCTTGGGCCGGAGTAACATTACGGCCTTTTTACACAGTCCTTCGTACTTTGGGCCACAAAATCCATCTCACAGCTCGGCCCAATTTTCACCAAAAATTACCCTCTCAATTATG